GCTGGGATGGAAAGTTTTGCCGCATCCGCCATATAGTCCCGACATTGCGCCCTCAGATTACCATTTGTTTCGATCAATGTAGCACGGAGTGGTGGAGAAATATTCAGTGACGTCAAGGAGGTCAGAAATTGGACCACATATTTCTCGACGCAGCGGGCCCAGTTTTATTAGGATGGAATTCTCTACGTCGACGTTGGCAATGGTTATTGGAAATAATGGTGAATATATCTCTGAATAAAATTCTCTTTGCATAATTTTGTTAATTCTTAAAGTGAGCGTTGAAATGCGCATTTATACACCATAAAAGAAGTACTGTGGTGCAGTCGTCAGCCAACTGGAAGACACACCGGTAGTTCGTGCGTGTCATCTCAACATGGACGAAATTTGCCATACCCTGTGCCAGGGTCTTCACGATGTGATGCTTTTCTGAAAGGCCAAACTCCCACACTCGATGTACTGGCTATTTCATCCTAGATGTGAGAGCACAGAGCGACTAATGCACGTCGTAATACCTCAGCAATTTCAGATGCATTCTCCGCATCCTAAAAATGTTGGACCACACCCAGAACATTAACTTCTTTATTAAATTACACCAATTCACTTTCACAACTTATTGACAAGCATATCACAACGAGCATTTACCTGATGAGACCGTGATCAGGACTCAGAAGACTATCACAAGATAGGAGCTCATGAAATGCACTGCAGTTATAAACAATGACTGAGGTTTATATTAAGTAAAATGAAATAAATAAATGAAGCATAATCGTCCGTGCACACGGGCAAAGGAAGAGCTTATCCACCTGTAACCAATGGAAGTAGAGACTTTTCTGCTTGTAATTATGAATCTTTCCAATTAGCACCACAGGCCAGTATCCAAAGGTGTCACTCTCTTCTGCGCGTTTTCAGCCAGTGCTAACAACGCGTCTCATAGATTCCTGATCTTCCCATATAACGCACCCATTTGATGACGTCATGATCGGAATAGTTCAATTTGGATTCGAACACTTTCAGATAGCGCACCTGGGAAGAAAAAAAATAAAGGTTAGCACTGAAGTTGAAAATCTGTACAACCGAAAAACCCGAGAATAAACTCACTTTAAATCCACTTGGTGCGAAAGGTACCTCGAAATTCACACTGACTGGTGGACGATCCCAACGTTTCGACGCCTATACAAAAACGAAGTGTTAAGAAACAGCTGCTTGATCTGTAATCAGCAGAACCTGCCTGATTTCCAACAGACATGAGATCCACATCGGCAGAAATCTGCACCTTCTTCCCACCAGCCAAACGTTTTATCTGAATAGTACCATGCATATGTAATATACAGTACTCGACTGCGCGAAGCTAGAACATCTAGTTCACTCTTCGCCTTATGAGCAAGAACAGAGAATGCAGATCTAGTGCCATCCAAGGATTAAATTAAGCCAACTGCTGAGGATGGCGTTCAGACCCTGCGACCCTGGATATCGTAGAGTACCGGCATTCGGAGGAACACCGAATAGGTATAATCGTAGAAAAAGCGAAGAAAACTGTACAGATCTATCTCCTATCCTGCGATTCTCAACGTGAGTGGGATCAATGAGAAGATGTCCACTCTTTTCCGGGACCCTACTCCATTTCAGAGTGTGAACTTCCACTTCGCGGAATCTGCAGTACTCTCGATACCATGGAACTTTGAATGGAGACCTGGATGGATCGATAGAGTCTATAAGGTTATTTACAAATATAGATAGCAAAACTGCACATGAGCAGGTAAAGTTTGTAATGGTGCAGTAGGGTGGAGGCTTGGTGGTGAGCTGTGAAGCATAAGCGAGGAATCGCATACGTCGAATCGAGTCGTGGTGGTTCAGTGGTAAGGTTCGACGTTCGATGACTTGACTCGACGTATGCGATT